AGAAGGTGGAGATGCAGGAAATAGGGAAGACCAGATCAACAGGCTTATTAGAAGGATGAACTAAGGTATCTACCATGGTGTTTTTATGATTTGGTCAGTTAATAAAGTATCTGCTTCCAAAATAAAAAAAAAAAAAAAAGAATCACAAGATATAAGATGTAGCTCAGTACAAAAGCCTTGAGTTCAAGCCCCTGTACTAGAAAAACAAAATCATAAGACAATTACCTTTTTGAGCACCAAAGGCAGTGAGATGTCTCCTGATGACCCCTCGACACTCTCAACGTTTCCTGCCAGCATAAACTTGTTCATGATCACAGACACAAAGAGATCATACTTCAGCAGATGCCTCAGCAAACCTATGAAGCAAAGGGGTTAGGAGTGAGGTGAAAGGAGGACAGGTAAAAGAGTCCTCCTAAGATAGCTTCTCACTCACCTCCTGAGAACCTTCTTTGGGCCTCTGTAGATAAAAATATGCTTGCAACCCTTAAGCAACAGTTTGCTTTTTACAAACCAGCTCCCTTCCACAAGGATCTAATGAAAATCTTCTAAGTCTTAGGCCTAAGGGTTTAGAGTGGTGGTGGTGAACCTCTGGCATGTGCACCTCAGTGGGTTGTCTACATCACTGAAACCTCTGAGAGGTTCGCCATCACCAGTCTAGAGAATTCAATAGTAAGCAACCCTCTATCACACCACTAACTCTAAATTTCATGAGGACAAGGATAATGTCAATTTCGCATTTGTCACCTGCCATAGCTCTTTATACATAATATTTTTTGACTGAAAAATGAACCATGGATTCCTGCAGGGGGACAAAAAAGTAAATCAAACAAAGCTGGTTCAGTGGTACATGTCTATATTCCCAGCTACTTAGGAAGCTAGTGGAAGATCACGTGAGTCCAGGAACTTCTAAGCCAGCTTTGGAAACACAGCAAGACATCATCTCAGGGGCTGGGGAGATAGCTCAGTAGAATAAGCGCTTGCCTTGCAAGCACAAGGGCCTGAGTTCAATCCCTGGTTCTGCAAAAAAAAAAAAAAAAGAAGGCATCGTCTCAAATAGGAGTAAAAAAAAGTTGGGCATAGTGGTGCACACTTGTAATCTCAGCACTCAACAGGGCAAGGCAGGAGAATCATTGTGAGTTCAAGACCAGCCTGAACAGCATAGCAAGACCCTGTCTCCAAAAGACAAATAAGTGTGTGGGGTGGTCACCAAAACAATCACTTACAATGTGGTGAATCAAGCTACAGGAGGACTAGCCAGACGCATGAGTGTATACTGGAGAATCTATCTTAGTATGGGGATCAGTAAAACGTTTCATCAGCAAATTTAAACTGAATGTGAAAGTACGTAGGAGAAAGCATTCCAGGTGGAAGAAACAGCACTCTAGACAGTAAAGAAACCCAGAGTAGTTGAAAAAAAGTAGAGAGGTCCAGAAATGATGTTTGAGAGGTAATTATAGAAGATAAGAACAATGTCAGGGATTCCGGAAATCGCAAGAAGGCACTAAGGCATTTGTTCATCTGTCTGTTTGTTCCAAGACAGAGTCTCACTATGTAGTTCCTCACCTTAAACTCACTATGTAGCCCAGACTGGCCTCAAACTCGTGATAATTCTCCTGTGTCAGCCTCCCAAGTGCTGAGATTATAGGCATGCACCACCACACCCAGCACAGGAGAAAATATTTGGTGTAGAAAGGCCAAGTTTTAGATACAGAGTGTGACAAAAAGAGAGCTGAGAGATGAGGCTGAAGAGGCTGATCACACAGAGCTTTGAATCTTGGATGTTAAGGCTAACTGAATGCAATAATATATAACAGAACATAAGACTCACAACACTTGTTCAAAGGATGAGACTACATAGCTGGCTGCGGGCAAAGAGCAGGAGGGACACCCTCCAGAGAGGACATAGCATTTTAAAAGAGGAATTCCCAGTATCATTAACAAAGATTCCCAGCTGCTATGCCCAGGTCAGTTCTGGGACTGGCCAGATCCTCAATTTAGGTCCCTTATTGTCACCTTTAGCTCTAATATATTCTAACTCCAATATTGCCCTACTTGAAAATGCCACATAGGATGCTTTACACCCACTGTGCTTCTGAGACAGCACTCACCACACTGGACTGCCTATGACTGTCTTTCGTGCTGGCCTATGAATGCCCCCAGGATAGAAATTGGGCTTCATCATCTTTGTGACACCGTATCCCAGTGTCACCTCCACCTCCACCTAGAATAAATCCTCAGTGTTGTATATGGCTCAGTCTATATTATGGACTGTTCATAATATAGCTGTTGACTAAAATTAGGAAATGCTGTTGTCACTCAATACTATGCTTCCCTTTAAGCTCTTGCCCTGAAGCAGGTTCACATTCAGACACTAATTACAGTGTCTGAATTATAAAA